CCCCCCCCCCCCATTAGACCACTGCTGCTAATCTCCGTGGAGTACAGTAAAGACACAAAGTAGAATCATGACCTTCGCTTTGAAGAGAAGAGGCCCCTTATCAAGATTGGCATCTTTCTCTTTCCTTGTTACAAATATGAGTTTTAGCCCTTCACATTCCAAAAGTAATGGTTTTTCTTATCATAACTCCTGAAAACAAATTATCCCCATCCAGAATATCATGCACTTAAAGATGCCACGGTATCCCATAACATGGCTGCACCTTGGTGTATTTAGTACCATTTGGGTGTTTCCTGTATTTTGCATTTATGAATAAAGCTACTGTTATGACCTTTGTAGCTAAATCTATTCATAGTCATGAATAGTCATTTCCTTAAGATAAATTCCTGGAAAGATTTCTAGGTCAACGGATATGCACAGTTTTAGGGCTTTGACCCTATACCCAGATTGGCTTCCCTTCCCATGATAACCTGTGTTCCTCTTGACAGTCTGACGTGGCTCATTCTCACTGTGTGTCCACGTGGCTTGGGCCCCTCCACATGTACCGGTGAACACTGGGAACGGGCCTGGCCACACCCACATCTGCCACAAGCTAGACATGGGGCTGTAGGGTGATGTGCTTCTCAGGTTTCCAGGAGAGCCACGGTCACCTAATGTTTTGTACAAACATGTACAGTGCAGATTGGGACAGATCAGACAGTACTGGTAAATTCTTCTAAGCTTGAAATAGTGCCAAGTTCATGATTAGACTGAAGCAGAGGCAGCTCTGAAACAGGTCTAGAAACTTATACTCTGGAAGGGTGTAAGAATGAAGATGGAGATTAGGAGAAAATCAATTAGATCTTTGCCCAAGATTAGTTTTTATCACACAGGCAGGGGCTGAAAGGAAAGGAGGGTGAAAGCAGACCTGCCTCAGCTGCAGAGCAAGCTGCTGTCCCTGTCTGCAGATGGTGGATGTAGGGTAGAGACGGGAAGAGGGTGAAGTGATGCCTCTTTCCTCCAAATGTTAATCAGTGCTTCCTGGAAACAGGACTGAAACCTCCACGTGCTCCAATATTTGTGGGGTGCTTAGCTTTCTCCCCGATTCTGAGAGAAGAAACATTTCAAAAGAAACATTTTCACTGAAAAGTATATAGATGTGTGTAGATACATATACTTTTTAATAATGTTTTGGAAACCTTCCCTTTTTTGGGGGGAAACTATAATGATATCCAAGCCATCTTGGAAAGGACCATAGAAGAAGTGGGTGAGTTGATGCTGTGAGGAAGATGGGGCCAGGAGCTGGAAGGTTCTATGGGCACTCTCCCCTCCTGGGTTGTAATCTAGCCACCCATCAGTATGAGGCCTTCTTTCTATACCTAGCTCTGTAATTCCCAGACTTGAATCATTTGCATAAACTTCATTCACTCTTTGGGCCACAATCACATAATTTATACACTGTTGTTTGTTTAATACGTCTTTAAATTGATTGTAAAGCAACTCACTTCTTTACATGGCCTATTCCTATTCTGTAAAATCTCTAAAAACATGAATTTGATAGTCTCATGGTTCTACTTCCTAATATACAGTAAAATAAATATGTAACCATCAAGATAAAGAATGTTCGTCCACATCCAGCCTCAGAATTGTCTCGTGTCCTGCCTATGGGATGTGCACTGTGCCCACAGACCTTGCTCTAAATGTTTGACAGACTCAGACCCTTCATCTTAACGTAAATATACAAACTCAGGTTTCTTTGGTTCACTCAATTAGAATTGGGTTCAGATATCATCAGTTGGTTGTTTATATTACTAGACACTCACTGTTCATCTATCACTTTCATGCTGTCTACAATTTCATGCTGTGACACCTGTCCAGGTGTGATGTAACCTTACCTTTCTTCAGATTCTTGCCACAGAGCAAACATCTTATTAAAGGGATCGTGCTTGTGTGGACACACACACACACACACCCCTACACATACCTCTCCTCCACCTTCAAAATGGGCCTATGATATTTTTCAGAACCTCATTTCCTCTTCTGTCTGCATATCTGATCTCTTTTGAATCCAATTATGCTTTTTCTCCTCACTGATGTACTTGCCATTTAATATTTTCTTTGTATTTCATTGGTCAGCCCTCTCTTGAGCTCCTAGTTGAGATGCTTAATGGGCCTGAAACTCCCAGAGTAGTTGGCTTGGGTGCTTCCGTTTGAGAGGTTCCAGATGTTCCCCATCAGCACGTGTTTTTCTCTCTCCTCCCCCCAGTGCCCCTGCTCCGTACCGAAGCTGCAGCCCATTCTTTTCTCTCTGGTGAACCTGTGCCAACACTTCCGGCCTCACACTGTCAGTTGCGTCCCTCTTCCTGAGAAGGAAGCTCCTGAGAGTCACCTTGTGAGATTGTAGGCTCTGTCCTTTGCCTTTGCATCTGCACTTCAGGCTCATGGAAGTACCTGCCGTGATAGTTGATGCTCATTCAATAAAAACAACAGTAAAAATAAAAATGATCGTAGCTCAACTAATGTCTGAACAGCCTGCTAAGTCCATTATTGTCTCATCTATCCTCATAATTGATAATCACCCAATGAGGTAGGGGCTCATAATCTACATGTTACACACAGGTAAACTGAGGCTTGAGAGGTCAGGCAGTCAGTCATACAGCCGACAAGTGGCAAAGGAGGAATTTGTACCCAGGGGATCTCCCTTTCCCATGGC